CTTCTCGAAGCCTCTTACAGGAGCCAACTCTTAAATCTAACAAGCAGCTCCTTGAAGAGGCCAAGGTCTGCTCTCCTGAAGTCCAGGCTAGCGAGTTTGCTGTGCACGCTCCTTGCAGCGCAAAGGATCCTGAACTCCACTATCTCATGGTCACTGCAGCCAAGGCTGCCCCTGAGCTTCATATTCCCCACCAGCCCTTCCTTGTTGGTCAGAACAAGGTCCAGCATATCTCGCATGCCTCCTCTCCTTGTTGGTTCCTCTGTCACTTGGAGAAGGAAGTTATCATCAATGCATTCCAGGAACCTCCTGGATTGCCTACGCCCTGCTGTGTTGTCCCTCCAACAGGTATCAGGGTAGTTGAAGTCCCCCATGAGGACCACACCTTGTGAATGTGAGGCTTCTCCTCTCTGTCTATAGAAGGACTCATCGGCTTGGTCTTCCTCGTCACGTGACCTGTAACAGACCCTCACTATAATGCCTCCTCTCCCTGCCCTCCCTTTAATCCTGACCCATAAGCTCTCAGTCAGCTCCTCATCCATGCCCAGGCAGTGCTCCATGTATTTCAGCTAGTCATTGATATAAAGGGCGACATCCCCTCCTTGTTTCCCCTGCCTGTCCTTCCTGAAGAGCCTGTATCATTCCATTCCAACACTGGTCATAGGAGCCATCCCACCACATCTCCGTGATGCCAATAAGATCATATCTCTGCAGGCATGTGCACATCTCTAATTCCTCTTGTTTATTCCCCATGCTATGTGCTTTTTAGGTAAAAAAGAGTAAGATTAATTATTTGCAAGAGTGCTTTAAAGGGTATTAGAAACTCATCCATTATGCAATCAGAAATCAAGATTTTAAAACCATCTGCTTTGCTAAATTGATTTTTCACAGCAGCTAGCTAGCATAACTTGAGCCTGCAAACACGATTTTTCTATAGACCTCTGTTGACTTACAAATACATAAAATGATATAAGAAAAAATACTAAGGACTCATTGACTCAGTTTCAATGGCTATCTTGACAATTTTGGGAAGGTGAGGGGAGGAGAGAGAAAACAATTTACTTGGGATTTCAGAAACCACTAATTTTATTTTTTGGTATGTCTCACAGTAATTTCCTGAACTGCAGTTTTACGTCACATCTCTTCTATACATGTAATTTTCCATGTATATATGGACATTGTTGTTGCTACGTGCATTTTAGCTTCTGTTTATATATGATGGAATATTTTAATTAATTTATTTTTTATTTGATTTTTATCAATCAGAAGAATAGCTTTTAGAAAGCAATAGCAAATCTAAATTATACAATAAATAAATAGTGTCCTACACAAAACAGAAGCACATAGCTCTCAAATAACGCTCTTTGGAATACTCATTGGGTTTCTTATTGGTAGGTAACCACCACAACTAACTGAGATTTTTATTTGTGATATGTGTGTCACAAAGAATGCAAAACAGCTGGCAGAATATACTCTTCTCTATTCAGAGAAACTATTTATTATATGTCTTTACCTGGGCAATAGTACCTGTTGCTTATCTGGAAAACAGAACTCAGCTCTTTAAAAATATTCCAGTATTCCAAGTTGCCTGATACACATTCTTTAAAATGCAAGAAAGAAGCTTATTTTGTAATGGTCATCGGGCATATTTTACTAGACAACTGTAAAATACATCTTCGTTAAAATATTTGTTATGATCTCAGAGTCCTCAGAAGAAAATTGTATTTCACCAGTTTACCGGAGTCTCTTAACGTGATATAAGAATCACGCGTAGTTTAACTTTTAAAAATCATTAAGACTCTTCATCCTATGTTTTCAATCTAGTGGATAAGCATCCTAAGTCCATGTCATCATCAATGTTACAGTAACAAATAAACCAAAGTTCTGTCTTTTCAGGCCTTCTCCCTTCTCAGTTTAAAGGACTGCCTTTTTAATTAGACATTGTCTGAGAAGCTAGAAGGACTAGAGCAACCTCATCTGAACCAACCCTAGAAAAAGATGACACATTCTGCTTACAGGATGTTTCTCCACTTCCCACCTGTACAGGTTCCTGCAGAAACACCTGCAGGAAAAAACTGAGAAAACAAAAGACCTGGCCCCAGCCAGTGGCAGGGGGATAGGATATATTTTTCCACATAGGCATCCCTTAAAGACAATTTATATAATACACATACACATTACATTAAGATATTTCCCTCATTTCTTGACAGACAGTTAACTGCGAAAAAGATAACCAATTCTTTCTGTACTGGAGCAACCTATGATGCATTGACACTGGGTGGACATATACAGTGAGATCAGTACGACCAACAGGAAGTAACTGAATAGGAAGTAAATGATGGTTCTTTCTCATTAACATAAAATTTCTCATTTGTCTTTCCACTTTGGCTATGTATCTGTAACACGCTCTGCTATCTTATTTATTATTCCAGTTAATCCTCACTACCTCACCCATCTCGAAATTTCTTTATCAGTGTGATTCTTACTTTAGGACATTTGTCACTTGTTATGTTAACACACACACCAAGAAAAGGGATCCACCTGCAAAGGATAATTATCTTTGACAACTTGTTTTATAACTCTGTTACTGTTGGCAACACCTGCATTATTTTTGCATGTAACAATGGATGCACAGATGCTTAAATATGCATCTGTCATCTTCTTTATTGTTTTCACTAACGACTTTATCCAGATGCATAGTTTTCAATCCCATTTGCATTTGCAACAAAGGAAAAAGATTTCTCTGCACAGACAGTTTATGAGAGAATCACTAACAGAGTAGCACCTCCCTGCATAAAGTGCTAAGTTTCAAAATACATTTTTAATACCTGAACAAATTAAGAATCTGAATTGAAATCTGAATCTGGAATGAAAAGCAGAATTAGCCTCTACTGAGCCACACCATAGCAGTCTCAAAAGGCATAGTAAGTGTATAGCCTACATGTATTTGAGATATAAGAACAGTAGAAAAAGTGCAAACATTAAACAGAACTAAGAAAACACTCCATATTTTATGGGGATGTTTCTAATTTTTTTCCTCAGGGAAAAAATTCTCAGACATTTATTCATTACATGCCTTTTCAGCCATATGTTTATAGAATACAATTCTAAGGTAAACCGTGCCATTTTTAGTCATTAAAAAGAATGTCAGAATTAAACTGCTATACACCTTCAAGCGTTAACACATTTAAGATGAAACACAGACAAAGTAGACACTGAAAAAGTTAAGTGTTGACTGCAAGTTAACAAGCCTACCACTGTTCTGTTCTTCAAAGGGCAGCATTAATTCCACATCAAATCACTAAGAATTATTATTTTAGGTAATGTCATCCAAACTTCCCATTAGAAAACATAAAACCAGTAACATCAGAATCACTGCTTCTGATCTAAGTAAGTGTTTTGTCTTTCCTCTGCCACCTTCTTCAGAGTTGGCATTGTTATCATTTCTAGCTGATTTGGTCTGTCTCATGGTGTCCTAGTCAAGGTGTAAGAGAACATGGAAAAATGTGATGGCTTCAACATAGAACAGTGTTTATGAGGGCAGGCAAAGTATGGAAGCTAACCAAGGACCAGCAAAACAGGATAAGAACTAAGAAGCTTCTCGGAAATTCAAAGCCTGGAGAAAGAAATAGACTTGGACTGCAAAACAGGCATAAGAATCAGAGAAAGGTTCTCACTAATTCCTCCTTGAATTGTATTAGTATGTTTCAACAGCTTGTCCTAGGCTCTGAAAACCTTGAACCAGAATGATACACGTGTTAAAAGATCAGGATTTATTTTTATCTTCAGAGATGTCTGGAGAAGCTGATTACCAAAGTATGTTTTAAAACCCAGAACTTTTAGCCTCCATTTTAATAAAGTTAATCACATGTACAAATATAATAATCTAATATAATCTAATTGAATAAAGGCAGAAAATTCCAATAGGTCAAAGATTTCATCAGTGCTCTCGTACTAAAGCCAGTACTCAAGAATTATAAACAATCTAAGTCTTCACGAATGAAACGGTTCTTAAAACAGCTTGCTGTATAATTTTAAAGTCAAATACAGTAATATACAAAACAAATTCAGTGTTGCATATTAAGCAGTACTAAAGGCTACCAAACCCACACATTTTCCAGCTGCTGAGAAAATCAACAGAGGTAAAGCGGTGCAAAGCTGTTATTATCCCAAGAATCTGAAATTGCCTCCAGCCATTGCTGAAGTACATGAACTCAAGATTCTAAAAATAAATCAATAGCAATTGATAAACTGAATAATATATTTTGGTAAAGAAAATAAATCTTATATTGCCAAAGACGACCCAAATCTGGGTTATTAAAATTGAAATGTTTTCCAGCCATGAAATTTCTTTAAATACAAGCATCTTAACATTCACTATATAACGCTACTGTTAAAGGAAATATCATGTAATATCTTGTCAGAAGGAAAATGAAGATAGAGCTGAGACATCTTTCAGCAAACTCTGTTGTTTTGAATGGCTACAGAAAAACTCACAATGGATTTCTGTAGCTCACTCCACTCCAAAGCTAGTAGAACCCTTTATTTCCAGAGAAATTTGCAACACAGGTGACTTTTGAGATCAGTCATAAGAATGCAGATAAAGACAAATACAAAAAACCAACACACTTTACATTATGGAAAAAATACCTATGAAAATAGGCTGCAAAAAAATGGAAAAAAATTACCTGGAACAAGTTCCATAACAATATAAATAGGTTGTCGTTGTGTGCAAACTCCTATAAGTTTTACAATATTAGGATGATCATACTGTTTGAGTATTCTGCAAAACACACAATAAGTTTATTGTATTAATAAACTTTATTGTACAAACTGATTAAATATTATAGGAAAGTATCTTAAATCCTTAATGTTATTTTAATAGAACATGTCATCACTGATATCATAAAGAAAAAAACTAACGTAACAGATCAATCATAATTCTGTTTGAAATGGAGGGCATACATAATAAATCAAGATCGAACACTATATTATACATATTGCAATTTTACCGTTTCTCTACATAACATTTGTCAATACAACTGAAAAATGGCCTGATAGGTTTCCAGTTTCTCAAGACCCCTTGTAATTAAATAGCATTTCACTGGTGGATCAGAGGCAGAGCTACATCAAA